AACGGAGGGTTCCGGACTTGGTTTGGGGAAACGGCTAGTAGGGAGTGATAAAGTGGATTATACTGATGCCAGAAATGTAAAAAAATTTTGGGTCTTCGGCTGTTTTGACGAATAATAGATTTTTCAAATTTGTCATGTATAAATAAAGAGGGGTCAAAACGGAGGGTTCCGGACTTGGTTTGGGGAAACGGCTAGTAGGGAGTGATAAGGTAGATTATACTGATGCCAGAAATGTAAAAAAATTTGGGTCTTCGGCTGTTTTGACGAATAATAGATTTTTTCAAATTTGCTCATGTATAAATAAAGAGGGGTCAAAAACGGAGGGTTCCGGACTTGGTTTGGGGAAACGGCTAGTAGGGAGTGATAAAGTGGATTATACTGATGCCAGAAATGTAAAAAAATTTTGGGTCTTCGGCTGTTTTGACGAATAATAGATTTTTCAAATTTGTCATGTATAAATAAAGAGGGGTCAAAAACGGAGGGTTCCGGACTTGGTTTGGGGAAACGGCTAGTAGGGAGTGATAAAGTGGATTATACTGATGCCAGAAATGTAAAAAAATTTTGGGTCTTCGGCTGTTTTGACGAATAATAGATTTTTTCAAATTTGTCATGTATAAATAAAGAGGGGTCAAAAACGGAGGGTTCCGGACTTGGTTTGGGGAAACGGCTAGTAGGGAGTGATAAGGTAGATTATATTGATGCCAGAAATGTAAAAAAATTTGGGTCTTCGGCTGTTTTGACGAATAATAGATTTTTTCAAATTTGTCATGTATAAATAAAGAGGGGTCAAAAACGGAGGGTTCCGGACTTGGTTTGGGGAAACGGCTAGTAGGGAGTGATAAAGTGGATTATACTGATGCCAGAAATGTAAAAAAATTTTGGGTCTTCGGCTGTTTTGACGAATAATAGATTTTTTCAAATTTGTCATGTATAAATAAAGAGGGGTCAAAAACGGAGGGTTCCGGACTTGCTTTGGGGAAACGGCTAGTAGGGAGTGATAAGTGGATTATACTGATGCCAGAAATGTAAAAAAATTTTGGGTCTTCGGCTGTTTTGACGAATAATAGATTTTTTCAAATTTGTCATGTATAAATAAAGAGGGGTCAAAAACGGAGGGTTCCGGACTTGGTTTGGGGAAACGGCTAGTAGGGAGTGATAAGGTAGATTATATTGATGCCAGAAATGTAAAAAAATTTTGGGTCTTCGGCTGTTTTGACGAATAATAGATTTTTTCAAATTTGTCATGTATAAATAAAGAGGGGTCAAAAACGGAGGGTTCCGGACTTGGTTTGGGGAAACGGCTAGTAGGGAGTGATAAGTGGATTATACTGATGCCAGAAATGTAAAAAAATTTTGGGTCTTCGGCTGTTTTGACGAATAATAGATTTTTTCAAATTTGTCATGTATAAATAAAGAGGGGTCAAAAACGGAGGGTTCCGGACTTGGTTTGGGGAAACGGCTAGTAGGGAGTGATAAGGTAGATTATATTGATGCCAGAAATGTAAAAAAATTTTGGGTCTTCGGCTGTTTTGACGAATAATAGATTTTTTCAAATTTGTCATGTATAAATAAAGAGGGGTCAAAAACGGAGGGTTCCGGACTTGGTTTGGGGAAACGGCTAGTAGGGAGTGATAAAGTGGATTATACTGATGCCAGAAATGTAAAAAAATTTTGGGTCTTCGGCTGTTTTGACGAATAATAGATTTTTTCAAATTTGTCATGTATAAATAAAGAGGGGTCAAAAACGGAGGGTTCCGGACTTGGTTTGGGGAAACGGCTAGTAGGGAGTGATAAAGTGGATTATACTGATGCCAGAAATGTAAAAAAATTTTGGGTCTTCGGCTGTTTTGACGAATAATAGATTTTTTCAAATTTGTCATGTATAAATAAAGAGGGGTCAAAAACGGAGGGTTCCGGACTTGGTTTGGGGAAACGGCTAGTAGGGAGTGATAAGGTAGATTATACTGATGCCAGAAATGTAAAAAAATTTTGGGTCTTCGGCTGTTTTGACGAATAATAGATTTTTTCAAATTTGTCATGTATAAATAAAGAGGGGTCAAAAACGGAGGGTTCCGGACTTGGTTTGGGGAAACGGCTAGTAGGGAGTGATAAAGTGGATTATACTGATGCCAGAAATGTAAAAAAATTTTGGGTCTTCGGCTGTTTTGACGAATAATAGATTTTTTCAAATTTGTCATGTATAAATAAAGAGGGGTCAAAAACGGAGGGTTCCGGACTTGGTTTGGGGAAACGGCTAGTAGGGAGTGATAAAGTGGATTATACTGATGCCAGAAATGTAAAAAAATTTTGGGTCTTCGGCTGTTTTGACGAATAATAGATTTTTTCAAATTTGTCATGTATAAATAAAGAGGGGTCAAAAACGGAGGGTTCCGGACTTGGTTTGGGGAAACGGCTAGTAGGGAGTGATAAGTGATTATACTGATGCCAGAAATGTAAAAAAATTTTGGGTCTTCGGCTGTTTTGACGAATAATAGATTTTTTCAAATTTGTCATGTATAAATAAAGAGGGGTCAAAAACGGAGGGTTCCGGACTTGGTTTGGGGAAACGGCTTAGTAGAGAGTGATAAGGTAGATTATATTGATGCCAGAAATGTAAAAAAATTTTGGGTCTTCGGCTGTTTTGACGAATAATAGATTTTTCAAATTTGTCATGTATAAATAAAGAGGGGTCAAAAACGGAGGGTTCCGGACTTGGTTTGGGGAAACGGCTAGTAGGGAGTGATAAGGTAGATTATATTGATGCCAGAAATGTAAAAAAATTTTGGGTCTTCGGCTGTTTTGACGAATAATAGATTTTTCAAATTTGTCATGTATAAATAAAGAGGGGTCAAAAACGGAGGGTTCCGGACTTGGTTTGGGGAAACGGCTAGTAGGGAGTGATAAGGTAGATTATATTGATGCCAGAAATGTAAAAAATTTTGGGTCTTCGGCTGTTTTGACGAATAATAGATTTTTTCAAATTTCTCATGTATAAATAAAGAGGGGTCAAAAACGGAGGGTTCCGGACTTGGTTTGGGGAAACGGCTAGTAGGGAGTGATAAAGTAGGATTATACTGATGCCAGAAATGTAAAAAAATTTTGGGTCTTCGGCTGTTTTGACGAATAATAGATTTTTTCAAATTTGTCATGTATAAATAAAGAGGGGTCAAAAACGGAGGGTTCCGGACTTGGTTTGGGGAAACGGCTAGTAGGGAGTGATAAGGTAGATTATATGATGCCAGAAATGTAAAAAAATTTTGGGTCTTCGGCTGTTTTGACGAATAATAGATTTTTTCAAATTTGTCATGTATAAATAAAGAGGGGTCAAAAACGGAGGGTTCCGGACTTGGTTTGGGGAAACGGCTAGTAGGGAGTGATAAAGTGGATTATACTGATGCAGAAATGTAAAAAAATTTTGGGTCTTCGGCTGTTTTGACGAATAATAGATTTTTTCAAATTTGTCATGTATAAATAAAGAGGGGTCAAAAACGGAGGGTTCCGGACTTGGTTTGGGGAAACGGCTAGTAGGGAGTGATAAAGTGGATTATACTGATGCCAGAAATGTAAAAAAATTTTGGGTCTTCGGCTGTTTTGACGAATAATAGATTTTTTCAAATTTGTCATGTATAAATAAAGAGGGGTCAAAAACGGAGGGTTCCGGACTTGGTTTGGGGAAACGGCTAGTAGGGAGTGATAAAGTGGATTATACTGATGCCAGAAATGTAAAAAAATTTTGGGTCTTCGGCTGTTTTGACGAATAATAGATTTTTTCAAATTTGTCATGTATAAATAAAGAGGGGTCAAAAAGGAGGGTTCCGGACTTGGTTTGGGGAAACGGCTAGTAGGGAGTGATAAGGTAGATTATATTGATGTCAGAAATGTAAAAAAATGTTGGGTCTTCGGCTGTTTTGACGAATAATAGATTTTTTCAAATTTGTCATGTATAAATAAAGAGGGGTCAAAAACGGAGGGTTCCGGACTTGGTTTGGGGAAACGGCTGATATGGTGTGATTGACTAGATCATATACATGCGAGAAGTGTCCAAAACATTTTGGTCTTGGGCGGTTTTGAAAAGCTATAGATGATTATATAGCTTCTAAAATATTAGGTTTTAAAGGGGGGTCAATTTGCGGTATCTGTGAACGAGATGGCACGGATTTGAACTTAGCGTAAGTAAAATATGCTTTTTCTAATCAATTGACGTGAAAACCGCATTTCTCCAGGTTTATTTTAATGTAATATCAATTTTTTCGCGTTTCTCCTCACTTTGAGGAAGATTTTGGAGGAGGGAGATAAAACTCTTACAGTACATAGAAAGCCCGTAATACAATCGAACTACGTGAAAACCGCATCGATTTATGTTTATTTGGACCTAAATTACGTCAGTAGAAGTGGTAATGGCAAATTTTCGTCACTGCTGCCTTTTTACCGTTTCGATCAGAGCGTGATCGATCGGAACTTCAGCCGCATGTTTTTTTTATATTGTATATCTAGATTTTCTTATCTGGTCCTGCAAATATAGGTTGCTCTATCTGTCTAAACATGGTGTTTCGACCCTCACCACTGGGATCTCGGAAACGGTAAGAGATATGAAGTCGCTTAAATGGGGGCAAAGTTGCGTATTTATTAAATCAACAAAATGCCACTTAGAAATTTTCGAAATTCAAAGTACTTCCGGAGAGAGACGAAAAAAAAAACAATTTCTCAAAATCGTTTCAATTTTTTCCGTCTATTTGTAGTGGAATTTCAAAATAACTTGTACATTAACATCATCGCCACTTTTTCTCTTTCACAAGAGGTCATAATTAGAATTTTAATATGACGTTTCGCCTCTTGTATGTATGTATGTAGGGGGGGTTGGCTTTGGACAAAATTCCATTAGCCACAGATTTTCTAAATCTGTATTACGTGGTGCTTTATATCACCACCTTAGCTAATTTTGCGAACTCAACTATTTTGTCCAGGATGGACTTTCTATCTAAACTTAGCAACGATGACAATTGGATTGGACGTGATATCTGATCCTCCAAAATTAATCTTTGTATTAAATTAGAAACATATGAGGCTCATTTCCTGTGCATTCAAAGAAAATATAGTTTAAATCTACTGTTTACGCCTCAAAACTTTTTTCTATGTATACAATATCTATAATTATTTCCGCTATATTCGCATGCGCGGCTGAAAAGAAGCGACGTTGCAATTAAGAAAGACAGACTTCCTTGTACGACCTTCGAGAATAAACACGTACATTTTGAGCGGGTGTTTCCCTTCTTCATTCACCTCTCATCAGCAGCAATATTACAAAAAACATTTTGGTCCTTCGAGTCAAATCTAATCAGTGCCGTGAATACCCTGAGAAGTGGAATTCTTTGGAAGAACAGCCGAAATTCTCAAATTCACAAGTCCAGAAAGTGAGGTTAGGTGGCAGCAACACGGCGGCCATTGCAGCGGAGGCAGCGCGGCAACATCGCAGCTGTGAACCACGAACGGCGGCGGCTGACTCAACCGGCCAATCTACGTGTGGACCACGGTGAACTAGGAAGACAGTGGCGTTCCACTCAGAATTCCAAGGTACACATCCAGCTGCAAGCTAAAGTGAGATTACGCAGTGAGCCCATTCCTTTCATACCTTCATACTTACCAAAGGCCTAACTGCATATTCTCATGCATATTCATTCAATTGCTTAATTCTTACCTGAAAAACGGTGTATAACTTAGATTTCAATTTACACCAACTTGTGTGAATTTTTTGAAATTTCATACATACACGTTCTTACGCGCACCTTTCTTGTGCGTCGTGCTTACATTTCGACATTCCATAAACATGGAAGATTCATCTCTTAGAACGCTTATCCGTAAACGAGGTGCGTTTAAAGCACAGCTCACTTTATTCAAAAAATATATTACTCAGCTAGAGGAAGCGATGCAAGATGTTTCTTTACAGGCTTTAGACAAAACTCTCATCATTGAATTAGAATTACGGGTAGAAAAATACGAGAAAATGTTTAAAGAATTTGAACAAGTACAATCTGACATCGAATATACTTCAGATGATTTTGATGCACAGTTGCAAGAAAGAGAAAGCTTTGAATCAGTTTATTATAGTCTCATATCACCTTGTAAGAAAATTATCTCCGATTATTACACCGTAGACAGTGGCGTAACGGACACGGGTTCTGGCAGATTTCCTGCATCCCCAGCTATCAAATCCTTCGAAAAATCGCATTCTAACCAGTTTAATGTCAAATTACCAGAGATAAAATTGCCAAAATTCTCCGGTAGTTACGAAAATTGGCTGGAGTTCAGAGACACGTTCGATTCTCTAATCAATAATAACACTTCGATAAACAACATACAGCGATACCATTACTTGCGATCAGCTTTAGAGGGCGGAGCAGCGCAAGTTATACGCTCTATTGAATTTTCAGCGGATACTTACCATACTGCATGGCAAACTCTTACAAAACGTTACAATAATGACAACTTACTTATTCAAAATCATGTCAAGTCGATTTTCAATTCACCGGTCATGGCAAAGGAGTCGGCATCAGAACTACGCAAGATGCTCGACAACCTATCGAAACATTTACGCTCCTTACAAGCTCTAGGTCAACCAGTCGAACATTGGGACACTCTCCTTATTTTCATCTTAGGTCAAAAACTAGACAAAACAACATCCAGGGAGTGGGAGGAAAGAAAGGTCTCTCTAATCTCATCTGAAAATAAGGTCCCTTCTCTAGATCAGTTCGAAGCCTTCCTCAAGGGCAGAGCTGACTTCCTGGAGACAATTTCTCTTGGTAGAGAGACAAAAAACACGCATTCCTACCAAGCTAACACGTCCAGCGATACAAAGAACTGCATATTTTGTAATAAATTTGGACACTTTATTCAAAATTGTCACGAATTCACCAAACTTTCTGGTGAAAACCGACTAAAACAGCTTGAAAACCGTAAGTTATGTGCAAACTGTTTGCGAGGCACTCATCCACTCAAAAACTGCATGGCTGGCTCTTGTCGAAAATGCAAGAAGAGACATAATACTTTGCTCCACAATGACTTCACCGCAGAGTCAAATACAAATATCCCTTCACATCCTACACATACAAATCCAGTGGCTGGGACATTTAGTGGCAGCACTAATTGCAACCTTTCTGCGCCTGCGCAGACACTTCTCTCGACAGCCGTTGTCTATGTTAAAGATAGACAGGGCATGTCACAATCCCTGCGAATTTTACTCGATTCGGGATCGCAGTCCAATTTCATCACACAAGAAACTTGTGAGCGCCTAGGATTACGTACCTTACCGTTTCAGATTTCCGTCTTGGGGATAAATCAGGTAGCTTCTTCTATCGACAAATCCTGCAAGGTTACCTTCGAATCCGTACATACTTCTTACACCGCAACGGTTCATTGCCTGGTGCTTCCTAAAATAAATGAAAACTTGCCTATTCAAACTATTGATACTTCTTCTTTGAGAATCCCAGGTCATTTAAACCTCGCTGATCCTACCTACTTTGAAAGCGGCAAGGTTGACATGCTTCTAGGGGCCGAAATCTTTTACAATTTGCTCTGTATTGGGCAGATACGTCTTGGGAAAAACTTACCCATCTTACAGAAAACCGTCCTTGGCTGGGTGCTTTCCGGTCCTATTCCTGTTCACAACGGTAACTTCAAGCAAACTTCATGCAACTTGACAACAAGTCAAGAAATCCATAATCTCCTAACCAAATTCTGGGAGGTTGAAGAACCTATCATCACCAAAAACCTTCATCTTTCCTCGGAAGAGCAAATCTGCGAGGATATCTTTCAGATAACCACTCGTAGAGACGAAAGTGGGCGCTTCATCGTCCAAATTCCTCTCAAACTGGATCCTTCTCACTTAGGAAATTCCAGAGAATGTGCCTTAAAACGATTTCACTCAACGGAGAACAAACTTTCCAAGCAACCTACCTTGCGGGAACCTTACACTAGATTCATAGAAGAATACCATAATCTCGGTCATATGGTTAAGGTGCCTTCCTCTCAAGTACTTACCTCTTCTTACTTCCTACCTCATCACGCAGTTGTGAATGAGAATAACAAAACAACAAGACTCAGAGTAGTATTCGACGCCTCATCTCGGTCTGACACTGGGTACTCCTTAAATGATCTTCAGTACGTAGGCCCAACCATTCAAGATAGCTTATTTTCAATTCTTCTAAGATTCCGTCAGGGTCATATCGCTGTAGGTGCTGATTTAGTCAAAATGTTCAGACAAATCAGAATACACGAATCCCAACGTCATCTCCAAACGATCCTGTGGAGAGATGATCCTTCGCAAGAGCTTGAAACCTTCCAACTCTGTACGGTTACTTACGGAACCGCCTCAGCTTCTTGGCTCTCAGTCCGGTGTCTAAAGCAGCTTGCTTTAGAACATACTGATACCTTCCCACACGCAGCCAATGTCTTATCAAAGGATTTCTACATGGACGATCTCCTTTATAGCTGTCAATCAGAAGAGGAGGCAGTAAGGTTATGCGATGAACTTACCTCTATTCTTTCCGCTGGTTGCTTCCAGCTCCAAAAATGGTCTTCAAATAGCAAACAAGTTTTAGATCATGTCCAATCCAATAATCCTCAAACCATCATAAATATAGGTTCAGATCAACGTGCAAAGACCCTTGGTGTTTTCTGGTCCTGCTCTTCAGACCACCTCATGTACAGCATATCTGAATCATTTTCCAATTTAAGAGCTATAACCAAACGCTCTATTCTCTCCGACATTGCCCAAATATTCGATCCACTAGGGCTTCTCGGGCCATGCATCATCATTGGCAAAATTCTCCTCCAACAACTATGGTCCTTGAAACTTCATTGGCATGAGTCCTTGCCCAGTAATCTCGACAGTCGTTGGCGGAGATTTAGGGAAGAGCTTCCTGTTCTCAACATGCTCAAGGTTCCGAGACATGTCATATGTCCCACTGCATCTAGAATCGAGCTTCACGGATTCTCGGATGCTTCCGTTGAAGCCTACGGTGCATGCCTTTATATTCGCAGCATCTCTTCTTGCGGCGAGATCACTGTACACTTGCTCACAGCCAAATCCAAGGTTAGTCCTTTAAAATCCTTGACTATTCCAAAGCTTGAGCTGTGCGGGGCTTTCTTACTTACTCAACTTGTTGTAAAGGTAAATCAATCAATGAGTATTTCCTTCGATGATACCTTCCTTTGGTGCGACTCCACGGTATGTCTAGCCTGGATCAAAACAGAAGCTAACAAACTTCAACCCTTCGTTCAAAACAGGGTGGCACACATTCAGTCACAAACGCAGGCAGAAAGTTGGCATTACATCAATACTGCTGAAAACCCAGCAGACTTACTTTCTCGTGGCGTATCACCTACTTACCTTCTAAACTATCAACTTTGGTGGAATGGCCCGACTTGGCTATCACACGAACACGACAAGTGGCCCATTGCACAAGTCAAACTTGAAGGTGAGTTGCCAGGATTAAAGAAACAACTCGTGTCATTTCCTGCCACATGTACGCCCGACATTCTCAAAATTTCATCTTATTCTAGCTTTTCAAAACTTCAGCGCGTGACAGCGTATGTACTCAGGTACATCTCAAATTGCAAATTGCCCAAGAAGGATCGATCAATCGGAGGACTTACGGCATCAGAACTTTCAACCGCCTGTACTCACCTTACAATAACAGCACAGAGGCAATCCTTTAGGGATGATTACTTCACTTTGAAACGTGATAAGCCATTACCTAAATCTTCAAAATTACTTTCTTTGAACCCATTTATAGACGACAAGGGTGTCATTCGTGTTGGGGGAAGAATTCAAAACTCAAATTCTTGCTTCGCATTTAAACACCCGGCCGTTCTTTCTGGCAAGCACCAGTTATCCAAATTGTTATGCGAGAATGAGCACAAACGTCTGCTACATGCCGGACCACAGCAGACTCTTTATTCCTTACGGCAAAGGTTTTGGGTCACGAGTGGTAGAAACCTTACCAGACAAACCGTTCGTACTTGTATAAAATGTTTCCGATGCAATCCTTCGGTTACTTTACCTTTGATGGGTGTACTTCCCAAAGCACGTGTCACTCCAGCTCCACCGTTTCATACTACCGGAGTAGATTACGCGGGTCCTGTCATGATCAAGGATAAACCTGGTCGAGGTGCGAAACTGACTAAGGCCTACATAGCTTTATTCGTTTGCTTTGCCACAAGGGCTATTCATTTAGAACTTGTTAGTAGCTTGACCACGGAAACCTTCATTGGTGCCTTTCGTCGGTTTACCGCCCGCCGTGGAAAACCACAGGAAATTTGGAGCGACAATGGCTCAAATTTCAGAGGGGCTGAAGCGGAACTGCGCGAACTCGCGTCCTTCCTTGCCCAAAATAAAGCTCACTTACAAGAAAACATAAGCAACACAGGTGTAAATTGGAAATTTATACCAGCCTTTTCTCCTCACATGGGGGGCATCTGGGAAGCAGGGGTAAAATCTGCAAAGAAGCATCTGCGCCGCATCCTCGGCTCATCAAATCTGACCTTTGAGGAATATTATACCGTACTCACTCAAATAGAAGCGGTTTTAAATTCAAGGCCGATTGCTCCTATGTCTTCCTCTCCTGACGATCCTTTGGCCCTAACGCCATCCCATTTCCTTATTGGGCGTCCAGCTACTGCATTGCCCGATCCGGACTTCACCGAAACACCGATGACAAGATTGTCAAGACACCAGTTGCTACAGCAGTTACAACAGCACTTTTGGAGGCGCTGGTCCAACGAATACTTGAGCGAGCTACAGCAACGTATCAAGTGGAGATCACATCAATGCCAACTTCAACTTGGTTCATTAGTAGTTCTCCGAGACGATAACCTACCTCCTCTACATTGGAAACTTGGTAGGGTTTCCACGCTTCATCCTGGCGCAGACGGCAAGGTTCGAGTTGCTACCGTGCGAACATCTTCAGGTGCAGTGAAACGTGCGGTAACAAAGCTTTGTGTGTTACCAATAGAGCCCGAACCAGTGCAGAAACCGGACTGTAAAGTTAGTGATGTAAAAACAAAAACGCGATCATAACGTGCTATCTTATTCCATTTTGCAATCGGATGTACTATTGTGAAATGTATTCATTCGTATATTGAAAGCTGACTCTTTCAAGGTCGGGGGTATGTTTACGCCTCAAAACTTTTTTCTATGTATACAATATCTATAATTATTTCCGCTATATTCGCATGCGCGGCTGAAAAGAAGCGACGTTGCAATTAAGAAAGACAGACTTCCTTGTACGACCTTCGAGAATAAACACGTACATTTTGAGCGGGTGTTTCCCTTCTTCATTCACCTCTCATCAGCAGCAATATTACAAAAAACATCTACTTTGGTATTGTCACAGTTATTACCAATGATTCCCATTCTGTAAAGGTGGTCTCCGAATCTACCATGATAATCGAAAATGTGTGATGACCTGACTGGTAAAAAAGGATTGATTATTGCATACAGGTTTCTAGAATTACTACAATATATGCTCCTTCGCTGTTTCCATGAGGCTAGCATATTATTTTTAGAATTATTATTTATATCGTTTATTGAAACATATTTTTTGTACTCGATAGTTTCTACAAAACAAGCTTCTCTGGCCGCCTTGTGAGCTATCTCATTACCGCGTATTCCTGAGTGTGCTTTAGACCAGACAAAATTAACTTTTATGCCTTTCTTTGCCAACTCGCACAAGGTAGCCATTATTTCACTATTGAAACATTTAATAGCTGACCCTTCTAAGATTTCAAGCACCGACTGAGAATCTGAAATTATGGCTACACTGGTAAGCTCTTTTATATTAATCTTCATCCAGTCCAGTAGATTTTATAGCTCTCGCCTCTTGTCATCCAACATTTTCATTTCTTATTATGGACGCCGTATTGGATTTTTACTCAGATAGAGATTTTAATTCTGATTTCAGAAATGTGTAATACATACCTACATACATTGCAATTGCCAAACCTTAGTTGTTTTGCATCGTTTATTTGGAACCCAATTTACAACCACTACATTGATTCTCTTGAGCATGTTCAGAGAAAGTTTCTCAAATTTTTATCTTTCAATGTTGACGGTGCATATCCAGGGCGGGGTATATCTGAAAGTTTGTTATTGTCTAGGTTTCAAATACAGTCTTTAGAGCTGAGAAGGAATTGTGCGTCAATTATTTTCTTGCACAATCAAATTGATGCTAATGAGATTGTGGCTCTACTTAACTTTAATGTCCAATCTATTCAAACTCGTACCGTTAAAATCTTTTATTGTGACAGGTCTTGCACTTATTTCTTTTTGGAAGCACCCATATTTGTAATGTGTGAAACTTGCATATCTAATTATTGTGATTTACATGCTGACAGTTTGAACAGCATTCTGGGAGTAGCTAGGAATTACCTAAACAATTTATGTGTTTTTCACTTGAGTGAAATATATTTTTTTAATTCTTTTACTTGTTTGTTTTGTCTTTAGATAGAATCACCTGCTTTTTGTATGTTTTCTATTTTTGTTCCTTTGGTTTATCATTTTTTATGATTGACCTGTAAATGGTTTCCTTAACAGTTGGACGATAAAGGCTATTTATTTATTTATATTTCAAATAGCAAAATTTCCAAGGTAGGCCTTGAAATTATCAGATAGTCGTTTGTTTTGCATTCCAGATTTCTCCCAAAATCACTTTTATTTTTAACTGACTTTATTTGAGATAGGATTTCAAAATTAATTGCATGTTACTTGGTAAGTGGTATTTTCAATACGACATTTTTTCTTTCGACTTCCATATACAGTCATGGACAAAAGTATGGAAAGATTTTTATTTCAAACATTTTTCCAGCTCGCCTCGAATACAACAATAAATTGTGCCGTTCATTTTATATGCCTGCGGTACACATATTTTCACATGTTTACTTTTTGTGCCATAGACATTCCTACCTTATTTACGTTTTTTTGTTTATGTCTTGGACAAATTTATGGAAAGTTTTTTCATATCAGCATTTAATTATTTAAGATATGTATTATTATCATATTTAACATCATTGGATTATATAGTCATGTATCTCTGCTATAACCAGCACCCTATTAAGAATAGGCAAAAATAAGTATTTGCCGGCAGAGTTGCGACTTAAAGTTGTTGAGTTGAAAAGCAATGTACTATAGCTAGAAATTTAGACTTGAGCGAGGGTGTCGTTTCAAACGTTACTAATCGGCCAAAGTCAGGTCGTCCTAGAAAAACTACCCCCTATGTTGATAAGCCCATTAAAAGAATTTCGATAGCTGATCCGCATAAATCATCCATCCAAATTAATGCAGAAATTCGTCAATATTCCAACACAGACATAACGGCCTGTACTGTGAGAAGATTTCTTGTGAAGTTGGGTAGTTTGGAAGAGTTGCTGTCAAAAAACCGTTACTGTCTAAAAAGAATCAGAGAGACATTTAAATTGGGCACCTAAAAACTGAGATACGGTGTTTTGGAGTGACGAAAGCAATTTTAAAATATTAGGTGCTGATAGAAGATCATTTGTAAAAAGACCTGTCGGAAAAAAATTTCATATCAAGTATCAACAACCTACAGTAAAGCCTGGTGGCTTCAGTGTTATGATCTGGGTGTTTTTTCAGGTCTGGAACGGGCCTGATACTAAAAATAACTGGGAAAATGGATCGCTTTATGTACCGCGACATATTACAGAATACTATGTTACCTTATGCCGAAGAAGAGATGTCGCTGTTGTGGAGATATCAACAAGATAACGACCCGAAACATTCATCCCATTTAGTAAAAAATTTGTTTTTAGAGAAAATCGTTGATTTACTGGAATGCCCTTCACAATCCCCCGACCTCAATCCAATTGAGCACCTTTGGGAGCACTTAGAGCGGACAATTCTGCAAAGGATTATTCATAGTGAGAATGATTTATGGGGAGTTCTACAAGATGAATGGCGGAAGATTCCAGTTGTGTGTCGAAATATTGCTTATTTAATTTGTATGCTTGGCTTTTTTTAATAAAAATATTCTTTCCATACTTTTATCCAAGGGTTTTCTTTATTTATCATATATGAGACTTGGTTTTATTTTGTATTTTCATTTATTTCTAAAATGTTACTAAGTTAGTAGTGTATGTTTATTTTTTAGTAAGTAATTAATTATTGATTAACAAATATTGAGAGTATAACCAGAAAACAAATCTTTCCATAATTTTGTCCATGGCAGTATATACACCTCTGTTCATTTGGTTGATGTAATTATTGGAATTTTGTAAATTTAAATTAAATTCCTAAATTCAATGATGTATTTCCTTATTTGGCCATGAATTTGTTATTGGATGAAAATTATAAGGAAATAAAACGGTTTGATGAAACTTGAAGACAACATGAAAATTTTAGTGATGGTAATAACAATAATAATCAAAAATAAGCAGAAGTAAATCATAGCGAATGTTCAAAATGTCCGTTATTTTGTTGCCAAAACCTGACTCTTCGCGGTACATTGTTCACTGCTTGATTTATTTCCCTTTTTCTGTCTTCCAAACTCTGTTGCTATGTTCAATTTGAGATCTAGTCTAGAATATGAAACAAATGAAATCTAATAATTTAAAGGCCTACCTAGGAAATTTAGTTTGTCTTGAATAACTAGGGTTTTGCAATATTAGTCTAATCATATTAGCAAATTTCCCCAAAATAATTGTTTAGTCTGGTTTTACTGAAACAAGTTGAATAGAGTATTTAAAACATGACGCATAAAATGGGTTGGGTTGAAATAAGATTTTTAGGTATTTATGAGACCTACAAAATGAGTACATGTTAAAAGATCCGACTAATAGCAAAAACGTTATGGCCCACAAACGAGGCAAAATGTAGGTTTTGGCACTTGGAAATGCGACGATAATTTCACGCAACTACTTGAAATTCCTCAAATCCGTAGGATTCATACTTCTAAATAATCACAACAAAATTGGATTATATTGGTCAAGTAGTTTTTGAGAATTTCTAATTGTTTATCCCAAGACATCTGTTTTCGGGCCATAACTATTAATTTATTGAGCAATATACAAAGGGCATTTAATAGCAAAATAAACGAGTTTGCCTTGCCGATATGAATTACAAACCATTCCGAAAGATAAATGTTATTTTTATGCGAAAAACAAAGGGTTTTTTCTTCTAAACAAATCAAAGATTTCGTATTTGTGAGTAATTGAACAAATGCTCTATGATATTCGTAAAACATACGTCATTATACACATTTGTTGCGAAGAAAAAAAATGTTTTCCAAGATTTCTTCATACTGTTATGTATATGTTACCGGTAGACTGTATAATTCAGGTATTCTATACAATACCTAGGCAATGTATAGAATACCTGGGTTTCCCAGGCAATGTATAGAATACCTGGGTTGCCCAGGCAATGTATGAAAATATTATGAATATTATTATCCATTACATACTTTACCTAAGTAATGAATACAATTCCTAGGGACTGTAGAGAGTATGTGCTGTTCCACCGGCAATGTGTAAAATAAATAGATCTTGGTCTAAATTTATCAATATGTGACCGGCATACCTATAAAATGACGGGCAAATGAAACAAGTTATATCATTTGAAATCAACTTTATTAAAATGAACAATTGGAGTGCTCATTAAACATAAGCTTTATGAAAAGGGTAAAAAAGCACCTTTCTGTTACTATAGTAAAATCACTGTAAAATTAACGTGAAACTAAAAATTCGTCTGGCTGTAAGTAACATAATGTAATTTTCTTTGCTTCGAGTACGTACGGAATACGTAAAAAAACTTGAGGAACAAAACAATTCTATCAAAATATAGGCAGTGGGTCTACTGCCGAGTCAAAAGTTTGATTAAGTAAGTAAAAAAAATTCATTTTTATATGAGGAACTATTGTGACATTTTGAAGTGCATTTTTTATTTCTCCTAACAATTGTTCATAACGTTGATCGTCAATAAAAGTGCGATTTTTAGTAGTTGCTGCTTCTCGATTAATTTGTAATTGTGAATAAAATCTTTCTCTCATCTCAGGTATTCACTGATCGCCGCCATTTACAATTAAATTACCTGCCTGCCGGTACGTACAACCCGTTCCTTCCTCTCGTCTTTTACATACATTACCGACTGTGCATTCGATATTGTATAGAATACCTAGGCAAAGTATAAGACAAATAATAGTTCATACATTACCTACACGTTTTAGGAATTCTATAGAATACCGTATCATACAGATTGCCGGTAACATATACATATTCAGAGCTGAAATTTTTACACTGTCACAGATGACCCTTAAAGTTTATAAAAAATTATTTCATACTGAAATGCACTGAACTGTTTATAAAGTTATCAAGCAAACTGAACACACAATTATGTGTCAAACTGTCTTAATCGTAGTTAGTATGTAGCATGTGCCAGATAGCTACACTACATTACATTATGTGTGGCGTGCGAAAAGCTGTTTGATCATAGTAAAAGTACACATAATGTGAAAAAGCATTTATTTAGCCGAACTTGAAATTAAATTAATAGAAAAAAGGAGCTTTTTGGATTCGAACCTCCGTCCTTTTGTCTACTTTTTTTTCGTTTTCTCCAGTTTATTTCTCCAAATAAAAAAAATAATAGAGAAAAAACGAGCTTCGTGGATCCGAACTCCGTTCCGCCTGTTCTGCAACCAGTAACCCTTCCCATTACGCTACGACGCCTCTTGGTTTACTGGATCCTTATCCACTATTCTTGACACTGACAAATCTCAAGCGAACGTTGGAGGCATATCAAATCAGTTATAAAGAATTACAGTACTCTTGAAAACTAAACATGATACAATGCTGAATCTTTAAATAATGCATTAGGGACTAATAACGAGCATTTTACCTAATTTTTAAGACGGTCAGTTCGCTATAATTGGTTGATACTTTTCCACTGTTTTTTCGTTTTCTCGAGTTTATTCTCCGACATTTTGAACTCGCAGTCGTTTAAATCGTGCGAGATTTCGAAAACAACCGTGTACTATATTACATAATACTTTTAGGAAAAAGATCTAGGGAATTATATTTTTTCGTAAAGTAACTGGATTTCGTGACCTGTTTATATGACAAAGTCAAGCAGTCATGAGTAATGTAGCTATTAAGCACACGCTACATACTAACTAGGCTAAGAGTTCGAAACATAATTGAAGACGCAAGTGGATAAAGGTGTCATGTAACAAAATCATTGTATGGAGAAAATTGATTCTAAACAATTTTTATTGAAACCATGCAACCAATAATGCGTGTAGTTTAGTTGAGTGATTCCTCCATAGATGGACGTTCACAACGATCCTAGTGAGCAAACGTGGAATGACTATTTGCGCCCTAAAAACTACCTAGTCTACAAGTTGACATCTTATAGGTTTTTTTGACGTTTTGTAGGTTTTTCACATGATACCCGTGCCGATTTGTTTCAAACAAGATATCTTTGAACTTGTTTGGAAGAAAAAAACTTTACTCTTTTTCGCATAAAAATAACATTTATCTTCCAAAAAGGTTTGTGATTCAGATAGGAAAGGTATGTATTTTGCTATAAAATGCCTTTTGAACGAACCCTGTATATTGCTCAACAAACTAGTAGTGATGGCCGGAAAACAGGTGTTTTGGGATAAACAATCAGAAATTCTCAAAAAATACTTGATCAATCTACTCCAACTTTGTTGTGGTTATTTAAAAGTATGAAGCCTACGAACAAGTGTCAAAACCTGCATTTTGCCTCGATTTTCGGCCATAACTTTTTTGCACTTAGTCGGATCTTTTTACGTGTGGTCTCATTTTGTAGGTCTCATAAATACCTGAAAATCATATTTGAAGAGTTTTTTCGTTCCTGCCAACACATTCGATTGAATCCCAAAAAATACGCTCTTCTCTTCTCATTATTTTTTGTCCAATAAAAAGTTTTTCCACAAAAATTGATGTATCCAACAACTTGCAGCAGTAAAACCAGACATTACAATTATTTCGCAAACCAGCGGTATTTTCATTTAATATGATTAGACTATACCAGATATTAACATTTTTGCCAACAGAATTAAAAACTCTATAAGAAACGTCATATTGGAAATTTAATTATTCCATCTTATAGAGGAGAAAAAGTGGCAATGTTAGGTGCAATTTAATTTGAAATTCCACTGCAGTCAGGAAACAATTGAAACAATTTTTGGAAAATTCGTTTTTTCCGCCTCTCTTCGGAAGTACTTCGAATTTCGAAACTTTCTAAGCGGCATTTTGCTGATTACCTAAACAAGGAACTTTGCCCCCATTTAAGAGACTTCGTATCTCATACAGTTTCCGAATTCCCGATTGTGAGGATCGAATTTGCTAAACACCCGATATATATATATAGGTGAAAAATTAAAGCTTCCGCTTTTTGTTGGGTACTTCGACAAAATTTAAGCAAAGTACAATGGTTAAAATTATATAAAATATGACAAGAATTTAATTAATTTTAATTTAATTTAATTTTAACCATTGTACCATGTATCCAGCTCTCACCATATTACTGGACGTTTCCCTCATCCTATACGAAAACAACAATTAGCAACATCCTCACATACTACTCTCCTGATGATGATGGCAAAGTCCATTAAAAGCTAGAGAGAATTAAAAAAAGTATAAAGAGTCCTCTTTGCTTAAATTTTGTCGAAGTACCCAACAAAAAGCGGAAGCTTTAATTTTTCACCTAACTGGTCTAGACGACAATGACCACGTCTCAAGTTATATATATCAGGGGAACTGAATGGATCGCCACTCATGCGTCCGACAAGAAGGGAAGCATCATTGGACTAATAGTGAAATATAGCCATGCTCTCTATGATGAAGTCAGTGTCATGAGGGGCCAACTGAGGCCTGGCAAAGGTGCTGATACTTTGCTGTCACGTGTCAGATCAAAAGAAAGTTGAAAGTCAAATTGTTCCTAATCTCATCCCATACTGAGCGCTGCCATGGCAAATGCTTGTTCGAAAAGTTGTTGCACTCAGTAAACATCTTCGCATTCAAGTGATTGCATGTGCGTTAAGGAATAGGTTAGTTCCAATTGCCGGGTGGCTGTGCAAGTCCGCCAACGGAACACTTTAGGTCTGTTTAACAACGTTTACAAACAAAAGAA